CTGGTACCAAAAAAAAAGTCAAATAAAGGGGGAATAATTGATCTCCCTGTGCATCTACAAGACCACCTGCGGGGTGGGTGAAAGGAGGGACACAGAGCCCGGGTTCTCCATAGGCGTCTCCATCTGCCACCTCTTCCTTTAGGAGAGTTTGCAGAGCCTCAGAGAGGAGAGGTCAAAGTCCCTGGGAGAGGAGAGGTCACAGGCCCTTTGAGAGGTTTGTTCACAGTCGCTCAGAGAGATGCTGCAGGTGCTGGGAGAGGAGAGTTCACAGTCCCTAGGACAGTCCTCAGTCCCTCACAGAGGAGAGGTCCCAGTCCCTTGGAGAGGAGAGTTTGCCATCCCTCGGAGAGGAGAGTTCTCAGTCCTCAGTCCCTCACAGAGGAGAGGTCCCAGTCCCTTGGAGAGGAGAGTTTGCCATCCCTCGGAGAGTAGAGTTCGCAGTCCCTCACAGAGGAGAGGTCACAATCCCTTGGAGAGGAGAGTATGCAGTCGCTAGGAGAGGAGAGTGTGCAGTACCTGGGAGAAGAGAGGTTGCAGTCCCTCAAAGAGGAGAGTTCACAGTCGGTCAGTGAGGAGAGTTCGCAGGCCCTCAGAGAGGTCGCAGTCCCTTGGAGAGGCTAGTTTGCAGTGGCTCTGAGAGGAGATGCCGCAGTACCTCGGAGAGGAGAGGTCGCAGTCCCTCTCAGAGGAGAGTTCAAAGTGGCTTGGAGAGGAGAGGTCGCAGTCCCTGGGAGAGGAGAGTTTACAGTCACATGGAGAGGATAGTTTAGAGTCCCACAGAGAGGAGACTTCGCAGTCCCTAACAGAGGGGAGAGTTCGCAGGCCCTTGGAGAGAAGTGTTCGCAGTCCCTCAGAGAGGCTTGTTAGAAGTTTCTGGGAGAGGAGATGCCGCAGGCCTTCAGAGAGGAGAGGTCACAGTCCATAGAAGAGGTGAGTTCTCAGCCCCACACAGAGGAGAGGTCCCAGTCCCTCCTAGAAGGGAGTTTGAAGTTGCTGGGAGAGGATAGGTCACAGTCCCTCGGAGAGGAGGGTATGCAGTCTCTCCGAGGAGAGTTCACAGTACCCCAGAGAGGAGAGTTTGCAGTTTCTCTGATAGGAGAGTTTGCAGTACCTCAGAGAGGCAAGGTTGCAGTCCCTCACAGAGGAGAGTTCAAATTCCATAGGAGAGGAGAGTTCACAGGCCCTCAGAGAGGGTAGTTCCCAGTCACTCAGAGAGGAGATCATGCAGGCCCTCAGAGAGGAGAGGTCACAGTCCCTAGGAGAGGAGAGTTCTCAGTCCCTCACAGAGGAGAGACCCCAGTCCCTCGGAGAGGCGAGTTCGAAGTCGCTCACAGAGGAGAGTTCACAGGCCCTTGGAGAGGCTTGTTCTCAGTCATTCAGAGAGGAGATGCCGTAGGCCCTCAGTGAGGAGAGGTCACAATCCCTAGGAGAGTAGAGTCCTCAGTCCCTCATAGAGGAGAGGTACCAGTCCCACAGAGAAGAGAGTTTGCTCTCCCTAGGAGGAGAGTTCACAGTCCCTCACAGAGGGGAGGTCACAGTCCCTTGGAGAGGAGAGTATGCAGTCGCTGGGGGAGGAGTTCGCAGGCCCTCGGATAGGTCACAGTCCCTAGGAGAAGCTAGTTTGCAGTGGCTCTGAGAGGAGGTGGCACAGTATCTCAGAGAGGAGAGGACGCAGTCCCTGGGAGAGGAGAGTTCTCAGTCCCTCGCAGAGGAGACTTCAAAGTGGCTCAGACAGGACAGTTCAAAGTTGCTCGGAGAGGAGAGGTCACAGTCCCTGGGAGAGGAGAGTTTACAGTCCTTAGGAGAGGAGTTCACAGACCCTCAGAGAGGAGTGGTAGCAGTCCCTGGGAGAGGCTTGTTCACAGTGGCTCTGAGAGGAGATGCCACAGTACCTTGGAGAGGAAAGGTCGCAGTCCCTTGGAGAGGAGAGTCTGCAGTCTCTTAGAGAGGAGATGCTGCAGGTCCTCAGAGAGGAGGGGTCACAGTCCCTAGCAGAGGAGAGTTCTCAGTCCCTCACAGAGGAGAGGTCCCAGTCCCTCAAAGGGGAGAGGTTGATGTTGCTCAGAGAGGATATGTTGCAGTACCTGGGAGAGGAGAGGTCACAGTTCCTCAGAGAGAAGAGTTCTTAGTCCCTCACAGAGGAGAGGTCACAATCCCTGGGAGAGGAGAGTATGCAGTACCTCAGAGAGGAGAGTTTGTAGTTCCTCAGAGAGGAGGGTATGCAGGCCCTCGCAAAGGAGAGGTCGCATTCCTTCCACTCCCAGGCCGGCCTCGAGGTAATGATATTCACTCGACCTCCTGTAGTCGGACGGCGTTCAGCCTCCAGATCCTGCAGGAAGGGGGTCTAGATGGAGATGGGGAGAGGAAGCCTGGTGGGAGAAGAATGGGCAGGGCCGGGAGGGGCTCACCTTGTCCAGGTGGAGGTGCATGTCACTGTGTAGATCTGGGTGGTGCTTTCCTACCAGCAGGATCATGTCATCATACAACTTGTGCTTTTTGAACATGGTGATGGCAAGATCAGGCTCTTCCACTGTCACATAGAGCCTGGGGATGGGAGACAGACCTGGGGCTTCCTACAACTAGAGCCCTGCTGCCACGGCATCTGGGCAGGGGGAATACATCTTCTGACCCCACCCTTCCTCCCAGCTCTGATGCCTCACCTCCCTTCATGCCTCCTCTGAGGCCACAGCTAACCTTTCAGCCTCAAGGTCCTTGCCCTGCCTCTCCATTTCCTGGGCCTGAGTGATGTACAGCACCAACACATCTTCTAGTCGCACGCATTCCATTGCCAGCTGTGCAGACACGTGAGGTACCATTTCAAAGGGGAGGCAGGGCATCAGGGGAACCTGTCTGTTCAGGAACTGCAACTCACCCACAAGTCATGGGACACTGCTTACTGCCACTCTACTTGTCAGATCAGGGAATTACAAATCCAGAAGGACCACAGGCAGAACACAGTATGCTAAGGCAGGAGGTCATGTGAGGCCTTGTGCTTGGGGCAGGCACACCCATTACCATGCTCCTGCTACACTCCCTGCACTCGGGAGTGGAGTGGTGAGAACAAAGTTACCAAGTAACCAGAAGCTTGGGAATGGTAGTTCAGATTGCTCAGCCCCCAAACTCATCTGCCCTCCTCAGACTTAAAGGCTCAGGGACAGGGGCCTTTCCTCATCTCATCTTTCCCTGTGGTGAGGGATCAGTTACCGGGAATCAAACTCAGGACCTTATGCTTGCCAGGGAGGTACAGTGCCACTGAGCTGTATCCCTGGCCTGTTTTGGTACTTTGGCAGCTTTCAGGGAAGTCAGTGAAGGAGGGAGGTCAGAGGCCGAGGAATAAGGCAGAGCTTGGCAGTAAGGACTCCATCCATTTGCTACCTTGTGCGCTTGCTACCTTGTGCGCTTGCTCCCAGTGGCCAGCCTGGGCGTACATGTCTATAGCATCTTTGGTCCAGTCTCCCTTAATGTAGAGCTCCTCGGCAATCTGGAGTTGAGGAGAGGGAGACACAAAGGGTCAGAGCAACAGAATTACAGCAGCTTGCAGGAGGAACAAACCCCAGCTGGGATGGTGGAGAGCCTGGGAGGAAGAGATGGGTATCGGTGAATAACACCTATACTGTTTATAGCAAAGACCAGCTCAAAGCAGCATAGGGCAATACGACAGAATTTTTAAGGCCCTCGTATTTTTGCATGACAAGGCAATTCTACACGGAAGTTATGATAAGAGTCATCCATGAAGAATCACTGGAGCTGGCACAGGAAGACAGCTAGAGATCATGCTATAATCTGCAGTTGGGGTGTTTGTATCATGCAGGGATGAAACCAGGGCAGTAGGCCCTTTCCTCCTATTCACCCACAATATGGACAGACCTCGTGTGCAAGAATTATAAAAACAAGGGCCAGGAGTGATCGTGTGTGCCTGTAACCCCAAAACTCAGGGTGCTGAGGTGGGGGATTGCTGTGACTTTGAGGCCAGCCTGGGCTACACAGTGAGTTCAAGGCCAGCCTGAACTACATGGTAAGACTGTCTCCAAAAGAAAGGAAGAAGATATTAAAGCCCAAAGGGGAAGTCTTACCTAAAGACTAACACAAGAAGAGGAAATTAAGGAAGGAGTTAAGCTAACTCTAAACCTTTCCAGAAGTTCTCCCTGAAGCTTACGGAAGTCCAGCGGACTGAGCTCTTTCCTCCTGAGTTTGCCTCCCTCTCCTCATCAGATCCTCTATTCTATCCTGTCTCTCTGTTTCCCTTTTACCTGTTCCAAGAAGATCCTTTCAGCCAGTGTGCAGTTCTTCTCCAGCATGGCCAGACATGCTCGGACCTGAGAGAAGTCTGTTCCTTCTCCACCCTGCAGGGAAAAATGAGGTTCTGGTCTATGTGAGCTGGGATGGGAAGGCCAGAAGGGCAGGGACAGCTCACAGACTGGAAAAGCTGAAAACCATCCAGGGGCTTAGAGGCCTGAGGATTCACAAGCAATGCCAAAATGGTCCAACTTGAGGGTAGAGGAGGGGTGGGGAGTGTAGAAGAAACTAGGAATGCCTGGAAAGCTAGGAATCATGGGGCTGAATACTAAGAAAAAAAGACTTAAAATATGTTATGCTCTCTAATGGATAAAGAAGATGTGGGGTTTTATAGACAATGGAGTCCTACTCTGCCATAAAGAAGGATGAGCTTCAGACATTTATAGCTAAATGGATGGACCTTGAGACCATACTCTCAAGTGAAATAAATCAGACACACACGTTTAAATACCACATTATTTCTCTGGTATGAGAAAATGAAAGTGGAAATGAGGACTAAAATGTATATACTAGATATTGGGAAATGGGAAGAAAATGTTCAAATGGGAATGGGAACAAGGGAGCGGGGAGGGAGAAAGGAAGGAAGGGATAAGAAAAAAAGGGAAAATAGAAGGAAAAATGAAAATAAAGCTTTTGTACATAGGGAGGGGGGAGGCTTGAGGGGAGGGAGGAGGGGAAGAGCAGGGATATATCAGGTAGAGGACCAGATTCCCTGTGATGAGTGTTACCATTATGTATGCCAAAAATGCACCCATACATGTTCTGCTATAAAAAACAGATGTGTTATGTGCATGTACCAACTCCCCATGATGAACGTAAATGCTGTGTACTGCAAACGTACTAACATAGGTATTTTTACTCCTTACAAAATACTAAGAAATATCTTAGCTTGGGGGAGACCGAATGAACCAAAATGATACTTGCATAGTCCCGGGACACCTGATCTGCGATCTCATTGGTCTCATGCAGGAATCAAGCTTTTGCCACATGGCCCAAAGCAGAAAAGCACCTATAGCATGGAGGGAATGATATCAAAAGTATTATTACAAGCACATCATTAAGTCACTGATTCAGCAAACATACACTGTGCACTGTTAGATGCCAAGTATTGTTCTCGTCACTGGAGGCCCAACAGGGAATAAGGAAGATGCAAGTCTTGCCCTCAGGGGACTTCCATCCCAGTGGAGACAAACTAATAGTAAACAAATTAATAAAGATGACTTGGGAGAACCAAAGTGAGATACAGCAGGGTGACGCTCATCAGTAACGGAGGGATCCATTTGAGTTGGAGTTGGAGAAGGCCTCTTTGAGGCACCAATGTTTGAGCTGAGGCCTGACCATGACAAAGAGCCAGTGGTGATGTGATGAGGCAGGAGTCCTTCCAGGAGGGGCAAGGCTCAAGGCACACAGTAAGAATAAGCCTGGTGTGCTCAAAGGGCCAAGAGGACGCCCCTGTGGTTGGAGACTATGGGCAGGTGGGTAACTGGCATGGGAAGGTGGCAGAGGACACAGGCCACCCCAAGGAGTCTGGGCTTTTACTAAGTATAACAGTAAGCTACTAGAAGGTTCTGAGCATAAACGTGACACAAGCTGTGTTTCTAAAAAGTGACCTTATCTGCTATGGTGTGGATGGACTGCAGGAGTACAAGACTGGTACCAAGGCTGGGGATGGAGCTCGGTGGTGGAGCATCTGCCTGGTGTGTGCCAGGCTATGGGTTCCATGCCCAGCACCGTAAAAACACAAGACAAGACTGGAACAGTGGGCCTAATTAAGAGGCTTCACAACAGTGCAGGGAGCGGACGGCATGATCCACGCTAAGGGGGAGACGTTGGGGTGGGACAGGGGTGAGATGTGGGATACGCTAGAAGACTGAGTCCCAGGGACCTGCTGGGAGTCTGTGTGAGCGGCTAGGGAAAAAAGAGCTCAGGGACAGCTCCTCCTCGCCAGACAGCAGCAGTGCCCACTTCCTCAGTGCTGGAAAGTCACATGCTCTTGGCACAGATTCTCTAACTTGTCTTCACTACCGCTACCATTGCCACTCTTCTCTACCGTCCTATGAGTCAATACCATTATTATCTGCCCTGGATGTGCAAAAGCACGAGGCCCAGCTTTGGAATGGGCTCTAAGCTCTCTAAGGTCATCCAGGTTTGCGATGGGAACTAAGGTCTGAAGTCAAGGTATCTGGAGTCCTAGCTTCGTGCTACTGACTCTACTCTTGCTCCACACCCAGGAGAGACTCTCTGGTGTATGGACTGAGGGCTATGAGGTTATAAACTCTTAAGGGGCACGCACCTAGGTGCAAGAAGGGGAAACAAAAATAATACGAGACACCATAATCTGGGATGGATCTTTATCTGGGACAAGGACACCAGGGAAGGGCTCTCACACTTGTTGGCAGTTGAAGGGACGCAGCCCCTAAACACTGGGCAGGAGCAGCCCACAGTGAGCCGGCCTGGGGCAGCCCTGCCAGCTGCCGAGCGCTTCAGGTCTGCATCTGCCTCACCTCTCAGCAATGTGGAGCTGCCTTGCCTCCAGTGCCAGTTTACTCAAGGTTTTCCACATGGCCTCTGTTTCGGGGGTCATCTCTAGGGTCTCCAAGAAGGCTGTTGCTCTGGAGAGGGAAGAAGGCAAAGCATAGAATGAGGGCAGGAACCAGAACACACAGGTTAATCTGTACTGGGGCAGTGGATGGGAGGGGCTGGGCAATTATTTGCCCACTTTGTTTAGTCTCCTCCCTGCAGCACTAGGCCCTGATTAGATGTGGCCAGTTTTACAGCCATTCCAGCTGCCCTTCTCAGGCCTGGCCTCCCACTGCCTCACCAGTTAACAGCAGCCTCTCACCGGGTGTAGTTGCCGTCATTGATGGCTGGTCCAGACTCAGTAAGGCCCTCATCCAGCGTGTAGGCAGCTATGGTCACACCTTCTGTCACCATCACCTGGGTCTTTCCCCTGCCACGCTCCAGACCTATGATGTCATCCTGTAACAGTTCCTTCCCCACCCCGCCCCACTTCCAGGTTAATGTGTCCACCGAGTCAGCTGCAGAACAGACTCACCCTCACCCAGCTGCAGTGCTCACACTCTGAGGCAAGTAGAGCAGCCCATGATTTCCTAACATTTTCATTCTTCTCCAGCAAAGAAGTGCATCGTATCTATGGCAACATCCTATCCTTAAAGTACACTCAGGATGGCACGGGTGGCTGAGGTATGTTGACAAAGTGTGGCATCTACTCCTTCCAGCAGTACCACAAACTGGGTATTTTTTTTTGTACCGGGGATCGAACTCGGGTCCTTGCACTTGTGTAGCAGGTGGTGAAACCACTGAGCTAAATCCCTGGCCCCAAACTGGGTATTCTTAAGGGTTCTTCTGTTAAAAACAACTTGAACCTGAGCTGAGCTCACCTGAAAACACTGCCAGTGTTTCCAACCCATCCTTCTCAGAAAAAGATCAGATAGAAAGAAACTCAGTAAGCTAAAATCTGAGCAGGAAAAATGGCAATGGACAAGTGGGAGAGGTACAGCTGCTCTGAAGGCAAACACAGTACAGAAGAAACCTTAAGCTTTCAGCAGGATGGCGAGGCTGAATCTGAGACTCTCTAATTAAACCTGAGGTCCATTTTTCAGAGAAGAGAATAGAAGCAAGTGGTACAGATCCTTAACACGCCTGGTTCCTGCAGAAGTAAACAAATATCTGTGGTGGAAAACACATCTGTTTTAGGTTTTCAAGATTTCAAAATATTACATTCAAAATAACATGAGCCTGGGTCAGGAATGTAGCTCAATGGTGCCATGCCTGCCTGGCAAGCACAAAGTCCTGAGTTCGATCCCCAGTACTGGAAAAAAAAAAAAAGAACAACAAAAAAAACCACATGCACTCACAGCAACAAAAAACAAAACTTAACAAACCACTTCATGAAAGAGTAAATAGTAACTATAAAAACAGTTTCAGACCTTCAAGAATTTCAGAAATAATAAGTTACAAGTTCGATCCCTGGTACCACAAAAAAAAAAAAAAAAAAAAAAAAAAAAAAAAAAAAGAAAAGTAAAGAAAAATTTATAATAAGTTATGATTAATGCTTTGGAATTTTAAAAATAATCATTATGTGATATAACATAATCATGTATGAAATACTTAAAGACCTAAAAGATGAAAAAGAAGGGCCAGGAGTGTAGCTCAGTGGTAGAGTCCATGCCTAGCATCCGCAGGGCCCTGGGTTTGAGCCCTAGCACTGCCCCGCATAATGTATCTATAAACACACACAGACAGGCCGGTATGGTGGCATGTGTCTGTGGTCCTAACTACTTGGGAGGAAAAGGTGGGAGGATGACTTGAGCCCAGGAGTTTGAGGCCAGCCTGGGCAGCATAGCAAAATCTCAGAGAGAGAGAGACACACAGACACAAAGAGAGACACACACAGAGAGACAAAAAGTCACAGAGACAGAGACAGACAGACAGAGATTTGTATCTTAGAGACACTGTAATAAAACTTCAAAACATTTAAGAACTGGGTATGGTGTTCCAGCACTCTGGAGGCTGAGGCAGAACAATCTCCATGTGTTCAGGGCCACCCTGGGCTACATAATGAGACTGTCTCAAAAAAAAAAGATTTTTTTAAAGCAACCAAAGAAAAAAGAGAGATCAAAGGATGCTAATAAATTGCTCAGAATAAAAATGAAAGTCAATTCCTGGGATAACATTTACAAAAAGGCTGAGAAAAATTAACTGTCAATCTAGAATTGGGTATTGAGTCCAAAAGCTTAATAAAAATGTTTTCAGATAATTAAAAAGAGAGCTTACCATCTTCCACTGAAGAGACCTTTCTTTCCCTTTGTGGTACTAAGGATTGAACCCAGGGCCTTGTCCATGCTAAGCGAATGCTCCACCACTGAGCTACATGTCTCAGCCCTATTTTGTTTTATTTTTTGATACAAGGTCTTGGCAAGTTGCCCAGGCTGGCCTCAAACTTATGATCCTGCTGTGTCAGCTCCCAAGCAGCTGAGATTATAGGCATGTGCCCCTGGGTCCAGATACAGAGACTTTCAATAAAGAAATTTCTAAGAGTTATTCTTCAAACCAAAGAAAAATAATTCCAGAGGTGAGACTAGCACTGCAGAAAGAAAAGGTGAAAAAAGAAATAGGTAAGTCTAAACGATGTTTGTATAAAATAATAATGTCCAACTTAGGGACTTAAAAAGGTTAGCTCTCTCAGTAGGCTGAGGTAGGATCACTGTGAGTTCAAGGCCAGCCTGGGCTACACAGTGAGGCCCTGTCTCAGAAAAAAACAAGAAAGAAAGAAAGACAGAAAGAAAGACAAAGAAAGAAAGAAAGAAAGAAAGAAAGAGAGAGAGAAAGAAGCACAACAATGGCAAAGGGAGTTGAGCAAAGTTTAAGGTTTGTCTTTGTATCATTTTCAGGGAAGACAAAGTAAAATGCTGATTTTTTTGAAACTTTAAGTACCCGTTAAACTTCCCAAGGTAACCTCCTCAGAAATAGGATGTATAGTATAACCTCTAAATGTGGAAAAGGGTATTTTTGAAAAGTGGAAAAGGGTATTTTTAAAACAAAGTTTAGACCTCAGTCTAAAATGAAGCAAGAAAGGAGAAACAAGAAGAGTATTAAAAACATTTAAAAAAACACCAGGGCTGAGGGAATGGTTCAGTGCACGAGTACTTGCCTAGCATGCATGAAGCCCTGGGCTCAAGTCCTAGCAACACACACACACACACACACACACACACACACACGCCCATCACTAGCCTAATACAGGGCCCACATCTCTTCTCTGCTCTCATAGACTCCTCCCAGATTTTAGAAGATTACTATCAGGATCTGCCTTTTAGCAACAGAAAGAATGGCACTTTATGACTTGGTGAAGTCCCAGGGCCACTGCAATGGAGTCCAATCCTCCAGTGATCTAATACAATGTCAGGAATCTGAACAAGGATGGTTGTGGAGACCAGTCTCCCATGGGGAAGGGGTCGAGGCTTCCCTTGCCAACTCCATCACAAAGATTATGGGTGGTGGGCAGAGAAAACCATGCAAACTTCAGTCTCCTTGGGGCTCAAATTCATTAGCTTGAGCCATGTTGGAAGTCCTCTGTTGTCAACGTACCCTGATGGAGAACACGGTGACCCTCTCAGGCGCCTCAATATTGTACCACACACACAAGTTGTTTCTGTTCTTGTTGTGCCCAGATTGTGAAGTCCCAGAGACCACCAGGAGGCCGTTTCCGATGTAAGCACACAAGGGTCGTTTATTCAAGCTTAAGCAGGGACTCTCAACTGTCACCGACACAGCGGATCGAGATTGAGAGCCCTGAGTCCCTAACTAGCAGGGTTTTTATTGAGAATACAACAAGCTTTGGTTATTAGTAGCCAGGTGATTGGTTAATACTCAATACATATGAAGTGTAGGGTTTTGGTTGGCTAGGCTTTGGGGGTCGAAGGGGATTACGTATTGGTTTTTGTGAGGGAGAAAAGGGGCAAAGATTAACGGCCGGTTGTTACATACTGATCGTTAGCAGACCCACTAATGGCCGCATCTATCTTGTGTGGACAGTCAGCTCATTAACTGCTTATCCTACAGATAGTGTGCCTGGAACGCTCTCTCCCCGGGTACACAGGTGGTTGGGTAATAAACTCAGGAATTTCAAGTGGTGAATTCCTAGTTTAAGCACAAATTTGAGAGAACAAAGGAGACGGCTCCAAAATGGAGTCATTTTGGTCCCACATTCTGAGCTACCAGGACATCACTTCCAGGAACCCACTGCATGTAGGAGCAGAAGTTGAGGATCATTGTCTTAGAGCAGCTTTCGGATATCATACAGATGCAACTGAAAAAGGAGGAGGCACACAGTACAATTAGACGAGGGTGAGAGAGTGTCTTCTCATTTGATCATTTCTCCAATGGTAAAAAGACCCACTAGCCAGTACCTGGTGAATTTCGAAGCTTACTGACCCAAAGCCCTTGAAGTTTATGCAGAGTTGATAGAGCCTAACTCTGGTCAAATAAGAGATGACCAAAACAACAAAGACTCGTGTCAGCCTGTCATTGTTAGAATGACTCTAGGCCAGATTTACCAGCTTGGATTATAAAATTGAGGCCAACACACAAATTAGACGATGTGGAAATTTGTGGCATGGCTTTCACTGACATGAACAATCATCAGATTGTCTCTCTGATCCCAAGGCTGAACTTTTTGGTGAAAGCATACTGAGATGATAATCGAGAAGGGGTGTAGGGAACAGGGGAAGGAGATGTTACCAGAACCTCTTCAGTAAGTCCTAGTCTCCTGTGAGCCACAGCAGTACAAGGTGAATTACAGGAAAGGTAGAAAAATGAGACTGAGAAGAAGCTGAGCTTTGGGGCTGATCAGTGCTGTTCTGGATGGCAAAGACAAAGACCCCTAGCTTGCAGCAGCTTTTATTCAGTACTGAGGAGAAACAAATGTAACAAATGAATATGTAGATTTCAGTACTTCACTTTGGGATAAACAAGGTGTAACAAAAGAGGGGGGGGGCGGCGGTGGCAATCCAAGAACAATGAGGAACTGTGCAGAAGAAGATTTGGTTCCTCCCAGGGTGTCTCCCGCAGGTGTGGTCTTGCCCTGGAGCATCACAGGATCACTAAGGTCTCAGTTGTGACCCAAGGCCAAAATGGAATTAGGTCTCAGTATGCCAGAGCTGGCCTGTAGGCAGAAAGAACTAGGCCTAAACAAATGATTTTTCCCTAGAATTATGTAGCATTGCTCCCAACAAAGGGGTAAGGGGGAAACTCCTCATGCCAACTCCTATGACTTCAGGTAACTAGGGCACACATGCCACAGCAGGCTGTTTGTATCATCGAAAGCTCTAAAAGTTTCACCATCACTGGCCTATACAATGAAATTATACTCTGTAGAGCCCCCTACAAGCTTGTGTCACACCCTCTGTGGGCCAGCCAAGGCTTAAGACCCTAGTAATCCTCACACGAAGTTTCCGGTTCCTGAAGAGGAGTTTGTGCCCAGTCTCATTAAGGTCCAGCCAATCCAGACGGCTCTCATGACTTATGGTACCAATGTTGTAGCCACCAATCAGATCCACTGTCAAGAAAAGGAGACAGGGCTGGGGATTTAGCTCAGTGGTTCTGCCGCAATGCAATCACAAGGTCCTGAGTTCGATCCCCGGTACCTAAATAAATAAATAAAGTTAAAAAAAAAAAAAAAAAAAAGAAAAGGAGACAGGGTTAAGACAAGAGATTCCACCTTCATATAAAGGCCTCAAGTAGTCTGTAAAAGTGATCATACAATCATACATTGTACTCTAAGAACATTGCACGAGTCCAGAGTGCATCACTAGGAAATGCATATGACCAACACAGCACAACTTTTCCGGGATGCTTAAGAAAATGGGTCTTATCCAGAATTGTAGATGGTTTTGTTTAACTTTGGCCAGATCCATCAGGGAACGTGACTCTCTAAGACTGTTGCATCTGCCTCAAAGATCAGAGCTACGATGCAAGTAGCTCCTACTGAGCACATCAGGGAGGAGGTTGCTGCAGCACACTGGTGAGAGAAGATGATGAACGAGATGATCTTGATCACATCTGTTCTAAGGAGTTAGCTGTACATTTGGGTGCCTATGGCAAAAGAACAGCTGAAGGGTGTCAAGTAGGGAGAGCCTGACAAAATAGCAGAAGCCTCTAACTGAAGTTACTCTGGTCAGTGCACAGGATAAACATTTGAGTTTTATCTGAATCTTGTAGACAATGTAAGAAATGACTTGGGTGTGGTGGTGCACACCTGTAATCCCAGCACTCTGGGAGGCCGAGGCAGGAGAATCCAAGTGGAAGACCAACCTGAGGCAACCAAGACCCTGTCTCAAAATAAAAAATAAAAATAGCCGGAGATTTAGCTTAGTGCTTCTGCTGCCTGCCTTGCAAGCGCAAGGACCCGAGTTCGATCCCCTGTTCCAAAATAAATAAATAAAAATAAAATAAAATAAATTAATTAATTTAAAAAGGGCTGCAGATGCAGTTTAGTGCAAAGGCCCTGGGTTCAAAGCCCAGTACCTCAAAACAAAACAAAAAAGAAAAAGAAAAATGACCACATTGAAAGCAGGCCACTCACAGTTGAGTGGGATGCTTTCAGGGAGTCTTCTGATCAAGCTCATTCACAAGTCTTTTTTGTTTATTTGTCTTTGTTTTGAGACAAGGTTTTGCCTTGTAGTTCAGCCTGGCGTCAAACTCACAGCAATCCCCTGTGTCAGTCTCCCAAGTGCTAGGATTACAGGTGTGTTTCACCATGTCTGGAGATTCGGAACTCTTATTGACACATGTTATTCAGGAGTAAGGTGCCTACTTTTGTTATACAAAAAGATCAAATGACAGCTAATGCCTAGTTTGCCAAGATACATTTAAAAAGGAATTTTCTTTTAATTAAAAATAAAAATGATCAAGCTTTTTTAATGCCCCAATTATAAGTAGAATCATAGAATGCTAGAGCTACAAGATCCTTACCACTGTGAACCCTGAAATTATATAAAAATTATATGCATATTTATATCTTCCTGGGATAAGGTTTGTGATTTTTCACGATATCCTCAGAGGGGTTGGTGACCCATAAAGGTTGACAGAAGACCTCTCACCATTTTATATATATTGAAAGAGAAGGTGAGGTGGCACACACCTGTTATCCCAGCACTCTAGGAGGCTGAGGCATAAGGACTGCAAGTTCAAGCTCAGCCTGGATGAGACTTTGTCTCAAAATAAAATATGAGGGCCGGGGATTTAGCTCAGTGGTTCCACTGCCTGCCCCGAAAGCGCAAGGACCCGAGCTCAATCCCCGGTACCAAAGATAAATAAATAAATAAATAAAATAAAATAAAATAAAATTAAATTAAATAAAATATGAAAAGGGGTGGGGATGTAGCTCAGTGTGAAGGCTCTGGCTTTAATCCGTAGTACCACAAAAAAGGGAAGAGAGAGAGAGAGAGAGAGAGAGAGAGAGAGAGAGATCTACAGAGTGAATGGAATTGTTCAAGTCTCCTAGCTCATTATTGCCACTAGAATCTCAGGCCTCAATCTATTACCATTCTCATTATAGCCACTTACATATCTGAGCTCAGCACCCTGTTGTGAAATATAGTATTCACAAAATGTAAAATTATCCTAAGAAGGGCCAGAGATTTAGCTCAGTGACACCGCACCTGCCTTGCTGGTGCAAGGCCCTGAGTTTGATCCCTGGTACCAAAAAAAAAAAACCACCAAAAAATATATATACACACATACACACACACACACACATATATCCCAAGAATAGGCCCACATGTATTTGGATACTTGATTTATATCAGAGATGGCACTGCAAATTGGTGAGTGAAGAATGGGATTTCAATAAATAGTTGAACAGATGGAAAAATAAAATTAAATCCCTATCTACATTATACATAAAAATAAATTCCACGTGGAAAACAAAGTTTTTTGTTGTTGTTGTGGCTTTGGGTTTTTTGTTTGTTTTTTTTTGTTGTTTTTGGGTACCAGGGATTGAAGTCGGGACCTTGCGCTTGCAAGGCAGGAGGCAGAACCACTGAGCTAAATCCCTGGCCCCGGAAAACAAAGTTAAAAATGTTAAAATAAGGAAAGAATAGGGAAGGATTTCTTAAGTAAGACCTCTGAAAATCATGAAGAATTTTTTTTAAAGTGATAAAATGGACTACATTCAGGCCTTGGATTTAGCTCAGTGGTGCTGCTGCTGCCTTGTAAGCATAAAGTCCTGAGTTCAATCCTGGTACAAAAAAAAGGACTACATTGAAAGTGTCTGAATGCTAAAAGATGCCCAAAGGAGGAGAAAAAAGAGACAGAGAGAGAGAAAACAAGACAGGCTGAGGCAAAATATCTGCAATGCACCTGACCACCAAAGGCTATATATGCAGATACAAAGAACCTCAAATCATTATGGGGACAACCTGACTTTAAAAATGGGTAAGGGATAAGGAACTGGCAATTCACAGAAGAGGAAATCCAAGTGGTCAATAAATAAATAAAATTAATGAAGTAACATTTCACATCTGTCAGTGAGCCAAAGTGTGAGGTCAGGTAACTTCAGTACTGGAGATGGTGTTGAGCAATGGGAAACCTAACTGCGAGGGGTCGGGTGTGAATTGGTGTAACCTCTTCAGAGGGCAATTTGGAAATATTTATCGAAGTTGAAAATATATCTTTACTATGATTTAACGATTCCAGCCTGGGTACTGACTTCAGAGAAATGAATCACTATAATAGCAAAAACTAAACAATTTAAATGTCCATCAATAAGAGAAGAGATAAAAGATCCAATGTAAATATAACACAATGTTAGGTTCTGGCAGACCGAAGTATGAGTAAGTAAGCAATAAGAGCATTGCTGTTAATAGCTAGCATTTATAAGTGCTTACTTTGTACCAGGCACTGGTCTAGGTGCTTGTCATATGACACAGGTACTGTTTTTGCCCCCATTATGTGGATGAGGAAATGGAGGAACAGAAGCATTAGGGAACTCTGGTAAGATCACGCAGGTTACAAGTAAAGGAGGAGGATGGTTTAATTTCCAGCCCCATTCTTTTTTTTTTTCTCTTTATTGAGGAAAAGTTTATTTCAGCTCACACACAGCCCCAGTCTTGACAGGTACACTATATATTGTTTGGTATGATTTTTTAGGGATCTATGCTATTCTGTTTTTTTCTATGCTTGAAATTTTTTTATGATAAAAATTAATATGTCAGCCAGGCATGATGGTGCACACCTGTAATCCTAGCACTCAGGAAGATCACCATGAGAAACTACATAGTGGGTCCCTGTCTCAAAAAACAAAACAGGGGGCTGGGGATTTAGCTCAGTGCCATTGCACCTGCCTCACACGCGCAAGGTCCTGAGTTTGATCCCTGGTACCAAACAAACAAACAAACAACAAAGCAAAGCAAAGCAAAGCAAAACACAAAAGCTTATGGTTCTATAAAGTCTAAGTAGAAAACTTCGTAAATTTGCTCATAATTCTTTACCACTATTCACCATTTGCCAGCACTAAGATACGTGCTTAGAGAACATGGTAAGTATATGGACAGGCCTCTCTAATATACACCTATGTATCTATATCACACATTAACATTTAGACACACATGTATGGACTGAGACATTTTATACATCCCCTGTAAGAATGGGGTTATAGGGCCGGAGATTTAGCTCAGTGGTTTCATCGGCTACTGTACAAGCGTAAGGATCCGAGTTTGATCCCCAGTACCAAAAAAAAAAAAAAAAAGAATGGGGTTGTACATCTACCTGGTGCCTCTCCAGTTCCTGGATTCCCCACTGAACACAAACTTATACTATGGAAATGCAATACAAGCATCTGTTTTGTTATGTCTTTTTTTTCTTGTATGGTACTGGGGATCAAACTGGAGTCCTTGTGCTTGCTAGGCAGGCGGCGAAACCACTGAGCTAAATCCCTGGCCTTATTTTGTTATTAAAACTCTGAGAGAATCTTACCTACAGCAATCGTCTAAATATCAACAAGATAAACCAATTTCTTATTATCTTCCATTCCTTGCTGATGGCGCTCATTAATACGGATGCTGAAACATGAAGGGTAAGGTAAAGCACATGGGGCTAGCCTGGGATTTCACTGAGGGCTCTGAAGTGCCACATGGGATGAAGTTTTTAGATTAACTGAAGGACACAGAATTTGGAGGTCAAAAGGAACTGTTTTGAGTTCCAAGATTTCATTCAGAGAACCTTGTGAGGTTACCTGAGGAGGTGAGGGTTCATGAATTCAGTACGCACGGAGCCCAAGGTGTCATTGCTCCCATATTCCACCAGGGTCAGCTCTCCGGCATTGAAGGTCATACAGGAGGCATGAAGAAAAACGGTACAGGGAGGTGGGCTGCCATTCAAGATGACGCCTACTTTTCTCCTGGCTATTTCTCCCCTTTATCTGCCCCTCCTTATCTTTTGCAACTTGCCCTCCTGACACACAAGCTTCTGGGGGCTAATCAAGATGGTGATGGTGAGGTAAGCTCTACTCACATTCTCATTTTTAAAGAAATACTTTTCATTGCCGCCAGACCCCTGCCAGGCTACCTGTAAAAGGAAGAGAAGGAAACAATGTGGATAATTACCCAAGACAAAGCTGAAAGAATTATAGGTAGGAGGCAGACAGATCAAGTTTAGGGGGGTTTTGGCATCGTACAGGAGGCACTGTGTCAGATTTTGGCCTTGGTCCCTATGTTTCCGAGATGGCACAGAAATAGTCCAACTACGGTGAAGGTGAATCACCCTGCAGGATTCTAAACTTCTCATTCCTGGAAACCAGGACCCAGACATGAGAAAGTCAGAGCTTCCTGTGGGTATCTTACCCAAGACCCTTCGTCCCTGGAAGCAGCAAGCCAAAGGGGCCCTTCCCCACCCCTCTGTCCCTGGCTCCTACCTCACTAAGGCGATTTGTGTTCAGGTCTCCCAGCAGCAGCATATCTGCTATGTGCACCACCAAATAATGCTCCTTTCCCAGGATTTTCACCTCTTCCACCTCATAGCCATGGTGAGACTTGAGCACCACGTGGGTCCCTGATGCCAGGTTCTTCACAATCACCTTCGTAAGGGACAAGTCTGAGACTGAGGCCCCCAGGCAAAAGAAGAGTATGCATGCTGTGCCTCTGCCCACTTCCACAGCGCTCAGCACAGCACCTTGTTTCTGCTCCGCGGCGGGGACACTTTACACTGACACAGGGCTTTACTCCATGTGAAAGATTTTCATGTGTTATGTATTTGCTTATGTGTTACATGCATTCATGTATTTGCTGCTCAGAATACATGTGATTCTAGAACAGTGATGGCCACCCTTTTTAGGGACGCGTGCCCAAACCGCAACCAAAACCCATGTATTTATTGCCAAGTGCCAACACTGCAAGTAAACCCGAAAACAGAAGTTTTACTTTAGAAAAAAACAACTCTACATTAAAATCTTTTGCCCTAAAAAGAAAAAAACCACATTGTGTGCCCTAGGTTCAACACCATTGTTCCACAAGTTCAATGGGGTGAAACCAATAACTCTATGTTCCTCTGGCTCTTTGTACAAAACTTTGCACCAGTTATGATGGAGTCTGGTGCTATTTTTAACATGCTGTGTCCTTTGCTAGGATGATTTTATTGATTGGGGACAATGTCTTACAGATAATTAGCTTTGTATTCATGATGCCTAACAGTGCTTACACATAGTAGAGAAAGAAAAATGTTTCTAAAAAGAATAAAATGAGGGGGGCAAATAGAGGAACCAAGCAATAAAGAAAAAAGGATAGAGGTAAAGAAAAAACATGGGCTCAAGAACTGAGAAATTAGCTTGCAACACCATGCACACTGAGTTCTGAGGTCCGAAAAGAACAGAGTTCATGTGAGATCGACAATCAACTTGATGGTGGATGATGCGTGGTGAAGTTTTAAACTAGGGAGACATAAGCAGGAATCTCCGTAGCCCTTAAGCCTAGTGCTGAGACTTCTTCTGAGGGGCTGGAAGGACAACAGCAGGAAAGCTACCAGGGTGTTTCCCCGACACAACACATTCTGTTCCTCAGAACAGCTACTGGAGAGCGAGAGCGATGAAGGTTAAATTCAACACCGTGGCTGCAGCCAGTAGGTGGGAAAGTGCTACAAGGACGAACGGACTGCAAGGTCTCAGTGCAACAGGCTGGGGGTGGCTCACCTGCCTGGGTCCCACACAGGTCAGCTCAAACTTATTCCTGTAAATGCTCCTTCGGAGGCAGCAGTCAGACTGTTCCACTGCACCACAGAGTGTGCCCTGGAAGGAAAAAATGACAGCATAAAAGGGAACATATACTGTACTCCGGCATGAAGAGAGTATCTAGTGACATCTTCAAATTCTAGGCTCTAGAATTTAAAGAAGAGCGGGCATTTCTGAAAGAACTGAAAGGAAAGAGGTGGCAGTCACAGGACTCCAGGGCATCACATGTGGATGGGAGAATGAGGGAGAAGTCAGCCCTGCCTGTACAGCTGTCTCGTGTGTGGCCTCCAACTGAGTATAAATTTCCATTTAACACTCACTCCATTGTCAATTTGGAATCAAAAGGAAAGGCAGGATTCCCTATTGCCAGGTGGGTGTGTTTTCAGAGAGGCAGGATTTCCCCTAAGCCACCAGTGGCGAAAGGGA